GAGGCAGGAGACTCACTTGAGCCCAGGAGTTGGAGGTTGCTGTGAGTTGTGATGCCATGGCACTCTACCCAGGGGGATAGCTTGAGGCTCCGTCTAAAAAAAAAAAAATCTGCAGCCTCCAACATTCCTCCTCTGTGAGCCTCCTTTTGCTATCTTAAATTGTTGCCCTCCTTGATTTGACTTAAAATTATCTATTAATATCTGTCTTTTTCTCTGGCTAAGTTAGCTCCTTTAAGTCAAGAGCAGTGTATTAGTGCTTTCTGTATTCTGAGTTCTTTTTCTAGGACTTACATATAGGATAGACTCAATAAAGAGTTGGTGAAAGACTGCCATTTTTGTAGTAGTATTTCAACTTGCATACTTAAAGTGCTAAATTACTGGCAATCTTATTTCTAGTGATCTAAAACTGGAGTAATTTGCCCAGACCCTTGGGCAAGCAGCTGGAGGTTGTCCCAATATGTTGCCGTTACTGCCCCCAGTAAGTAACAATGCCATAAGGGACAGTTGGGTGTGTCACCTTGCCTTCTGAGGTCTCCGTTTTCCCACTGTACAAGGAGAGAATTAGACCACATGACCCAGCACCAACAGTTGACAATTTTAGAAAATGATGCCAATAGCTAATTGACCTCTTCTGCAAAACCCGTGGTGCCATTGGCTGGCTTTGACATCAAACCACATCACTCTCTTCATGGTTTCACTCTGTTCTGTCTCACCTTGCAGATGGGTCAGCCAGAGAGGCTGGTTGTGGTGCTCCGAGGCGATAGACAGGGTGTTGAGGGCAACAATGAGGATCACCAGCCAATAGAAGACCTTGGACTTCACTATGTCGTGGCACTTCCAGCGAAAGATGCGGTTCCATCGCCGCCAGTGCCGGCTGAGGGAGGAGACAGAGGGATGGTGGCAAAGCGCTGCTCTGCTCTATGTCCCATCTTTCCTTTCTTTCTTTTTTTTTTTTTTTGAGACAGAGTCTCACTTTTTCACCCTTAGTAGAGTGCCATGGCGTCTTAGCTCACAGCAACCTCAAACTCTTGGGCTCAAGCGATCCTCTTGCCTCAGTTTTTTTTTTTTTTTTCATTTTTAGTAGAAATGGGGCCTCACTCTTGCTCAGGCTGGTTTTGAACTCCTGAGCTCAAGCAATCTGCCTGCCTCAGCCTCCCAGAGTGCTAGAATTACAGGCATGAGCCACCTCGCCCAGCCATCTATGTCCCATCTACCTAACTTACTTTCAGACAAACTCCAGCCATACTTAGTCTGACCACCCCTTCTCCCCTCCAGGCCCTGACAGAAGCTAAGGACATGAGCTGTCCAAGCAGATGGATTAAAATCCTGCCCCTCACTCCACAAATTCATCATTGTTTTCTTTCCTTTCTTTCTTTTTTTTTTAAATTTGTTTGTTTTATTTTCTTTGAGACAGACTCTGACTCTGCTACCTAGGCTAGAGTGCAGTGGCACCAGCCTAGGTCACCAGCCTAGGTCACAGAATCACCTCAAGTGATTCCCCTGCCTCAATCTCCCAAGTAGCTGGGACTACAGATGCCTAGCTTGTTTTTTCTATTTTTAGTAGAGACCAGGTTTAGCTCTTGCTCAGCCTGGTCTTGAACTCCTGAGCTTAAGCAATCACACGCCTCAGCCTCCCAGACTGCTAAGATTATAGGCATGAGCCACTGTGCCCGGCCTATAGTTTAATTTTAAATAAAGCAGTCCTGAGATGTTTTACTGCGTTTTGCCCATTATAAATTCTTTAACAAATTAATATTATTTGGGGAGGGGGGTGGGGAAGTGGCACTTTGATGGTACAATCTTTTTGGAGAGCGATTTGGCATACTTATCAAAGTTCAAATTCTATGTAGCCTTTGACTCAGAAATGTCATTTCTAGAATTCTGCCAGTGGAATGGTCATAATTATGTACAACTGTACCTTGAAGCACTGTCGGTATTGTCAAAAACTAAATTAATTATGATATATCCATACTGTGGAATGCTTTAATACTCAAAGGTACACCAAAAGGGGATAAGGAAAAATTATTCTCAGTAGATAATTTTAAGTAAAAAATGTAGTTCGTGAGATCATAGTATATTCTATTCATTTATTTAACAATTATTTGGCAACACCTCCTGTGTGCTGGATACTGTTCTGGTCTCTGTAGTGACAGTAGTTAATATAAATAACCCTATTATGTAAAAAACCAAACCAAACCAAAATATCCTGGCATAAATTCAAGTGGGATGAAAGCACAGAAAAGGCCCTGGAGGCATACAGTCTGTTACCATGGTTACGTCTTTGCAGGGTAGTGGGGACCTTCATCTTTTCTTTGATGTATTTCTCTATTGTTTGCTTTTTCAAAATCATAATTATGTATGAATTTGTAAAAGGAAGTAACCATCAAACAAACAAGCCCTTCTCTAAGACAAAGGCAGGCGAGAGAGAGCTTGGGGTGTCCCCTCGTTGCTGGACTCCTGGGCTGGGCCGGCCTCCTTCCTGCAGATCTCCCATGTTTGCACTGCCTCTTTGCCATGCACACGTTCCCTCTTCCCTTGGGGAGGTGTCCAACATCAACTACCTCACCTGGTTCCACCCTGGTCAGAGAGGGGCAGCAAATGTGCTCCCTGCCCCCAGAA